AAAGGAAAAGCAAGAGAAAAAGAAAAAATGTGTTAAATGTTCGAAATTATTTATCACACCGACGTGAGTTTTTAGTATGAGGATTCGTATCATAGTTCATAGTTCGCTACAGTATTTTTTCTCACAAAATATACACGTAAATTAAAAATGATTCTTAATTATAATTCTGAATACAAAAAGAAATCATGCATCTATAGACTTCTTTTTTTTTCTCTTTTTTTTTTTTTTTTTTTGGAGGGGAGTTTTGAACAAATGAAATAGAAGAAAGAGAATATATTATTTTATTGACAATGATATATACCTAATTTTATTGCTTTAAATTATTCTCTCGTTTTTACTAGAATTGTTAGCAGACAAAATGTACGAACCTCATCAATGTATTATATAAACACCGATATATGATATAGGTAGCTCTTGTTGATTCTGATATGTGGCTTCCACGTTGCATAAGAAGGTAGTATCATCTTCTTCCTCAATAAATCCGGTTATTTAATCCTTCTAATTCGTCAATTTCAATTCTAGACCTTCCACTTATGCACACATTGCTATTAAACCATATGTATTTAATTTGAAGACAAAGATCATGTGTAATACTAATAAAATCGATCCATTTGCATTTCTGGTCTTCACAATTAAACTATAACAAATAATTATGTGCAGAATATTAAATTTTTGTGCTCCATACACCCATCTTAAAGTTGAGATTTTCAGCTCTAGTCCCCTACTCTCAATCTCAAAACAAAAGAATTCCATTAATCTTGGTGAGATAGCGATGAAAGACAATCTATCAAGACTTTCTCATTTAGTACCTATAAATCTATTTTCATTGTCCGTAATGAATTAGCTGAAATCATACTTCTCATTAACCTTTACTAGATGGCAGTCGAGAAAGCATGATTAGGTTTCAATATGTGGTGTTAATAGATTGTTAAGTGGTTTTTAAATCGGGGCGCGAGGACACCATTGATCTTTTTTTTAGTATATAAAAAATTCAAAACAAAAATATATATCAATTTTTCGTTCTTCACTATTAATCTTTACAAAGGACAGTTACAATGCCATTTTCCGTTGATATATAGTGCAGTCGCTGGGACCAATTTGGATTAAAATGAACTAATGATCGCTGTTTATTCAGCCAAATAAATATTAAATAAATAACAACAAAACTATACCTACAGTTGCAACTCAACATTCATTGATTTTTTTTTCTTTTTCAATTATAATTGAACATTCATTATTTCATTATTGATTCTTATTCTTCTTTTTTTGTTTTGTTTTGTTTTTCTTTTTCTTTTTTTAACTTTCAAAAACCGTACCCTATTGACACTTCAATTCAACGATGTTTACTTGAAATAGTGACATTTTTTGTACACATTACGTGGCAGATTCTGGTAGGCCACAAGTTGGACAAAATTGTTATCACAATTCACAAGCTTTTTGAAGCAAAGTTTAGTTATGATTTGCTGCTATTAATCACGGGATCGGTTAACCTCTTCAAGCTATAAGACGAATCAACTTGGGTTGAAAGGATATGTGATTCACAGTAGACGAGAATAAGCTCATGATCTAGACTTTTGCGTAACCGAATTAGACTGTTTTTTGTTTGGTTCTTTCCGCTGAAAACATCAAAATTCAATTCATCTAATTATGTTACATAAAACTTATATGGTAGGAAGAAAAAGTGAAATTAAGGAATGGTAGGAGTGGAAGAATTTTAAGACCTATGCTTGGTTACTACAAGGGAATTTTAATATCTCTTTATGTGAACATGGATCATTCATAATCTTGTACATATTCACACTCTTTTAGGAATGGTTGGATATTTTCTTTCAAAATGATGTTTATCTTACAAATAGTCACAAACTTTTATCATAATCTCACTTTAGTCTTTGACTTTAAGACGCTCAATTTTTAATCTGTAATTTTATTTCACTTTGTCATTTTATTAATTGGGTGTTAAAAACAGAATGAAATTTGCATGTGACGCTTATAGAAAACAGCACTCTTTTAGCACGTAATATTTATGTGATATTGATGAAAATTAAATAATACTCTGCTAAAAATATTTCTTCAATATTGTTTATTTTCTTTTTAACACCTAACTGATAATAGGGTAAAACTGAAACAAAACTGATAGATGATAATTAAATTTTGGACCTTTTTAAAATCTAAGACTAAGGTAAATTAAAAACAAAATTTTGAACACTATTTCTGAGATTAACCCAGGATATGCATATGATTCATATTAATTATACCGGATTATCAACTCATCTAGACTTTATAATATTTAGATTATATTATATCTTATTTTTCCTTCGGAATAACACGTAACTACATCAATTCGGGCACGTTCAAAATTTTTCTCTTAGATAATCTAAGAAGAAACCCAATTGACTTTCTCCCATTTTTTATGGATCTTTTGAAACTCTTCAAGATAATTAATAGTGGTTGACATATTGCCAAAAAAATTCCAATCGCAAAGACACTATCTAGGTTGCAGATACGGCGCTACTACTTTTTCAAAAGTGAAAGGAACTCATACAACGGAAACCTAAATTTTTACATTTCGGGAAAAAAAAAAAAAAAAAAAAAAACCTAATTTATTAAACAAAGAAATCAATGCAATCAAGGAATTAAACTTTACCAAACCACATTTGAAATTCCAGCGATCTCTATAGAAAGTAAGAAGCAATGCATATGGGATAAGATTCTATTTTCTAATATCAGTCACATGTTTCTATATTAAACATTTAAAACCGATACCAAAAGTTGGAGAATAAAATCATCATTTAAGAATAACTTACGAATAAATGTTCCACTACATATTCCTGCAATCCACACATTAATTTTGTTTAAATACTGGTGTAATTTGTTAACAAGGCTAAGAAAAGATACAACAAAGATTGATTCTTTTGAATTCACATGATTACCGTGGCATTAAAAAGAAATTGTCAGTACAATAAGTAATATAAATATGTAAACTACATTTGAGATACATTACCATATATACATAATAACATTATAATATGCACAAGTACTGTTTTCTTTTAATATACCATAAATGCTTAAAAAATAATATCTAGTTTGGATCAAAACTTTCATCCTTGACTGTTCTTAAAGCTTATGAATTCAACCATCTGGTCCAATATTACTTACATGACCAGCGTATACAATTAATATACACCCCAAGTAGCTAATCAATAAGATTTTATGTTATGTAATCAAAACCAATCAACAATTAACATATATATATATATAGAATATTAAATTAATAACAAATCCCATCTTGTGAAAGAATTAGTAGCAAAGCTTTGTATATTGTCATGTTCTAGGGCACCTTTTGAGAGGGAAGTCGGTGGTCGTACCACTATCCAAGAAGAAGATAGGCTTAGTGGAAGATGGTGGGTATGTTCTTAAAAAGCTATAATTTGACTCAACTTTCAATCATATAACAAGACCATTCCTTTTAACACTTTTTTATACACATTTTTAATGCTATCTTTGCTTACCAAATCTTACAAAGCTCCACTCTCTATCTCATGCAATTTGGATTCCCCCTTTGTGTCTCATCTTACCAATCCAACGGTCCAAAACTTTACATTCTTTTAAAAGTTAATTTAGTTTCTGGTATAATGTGTGTATATACATATATATATATATAATATTTATATATATAGTCGTCGTCATCCACCAAAATGACTTCCCAAGTTGATAAGTCAAGCTCGTTTCAATGGATCATGTCGCTACGCGTGTATTAGTAAAAGATTTAAGAGATCGAATAAGTTCTACTATTGTTATTATATATTTAACTCAAGAGAATATGATATCTCATATATGTGTATAATATAACTTACTTAAGAATGAAATTGGATGATGATCGAAGCTTTCACACAAACACACGTACATATGTATTTCTCTCTCTGTCTATATATATATATTAAGAATAATGTATTCTTAATGTATACAATTGGCAATTGCCATTGTGAAAGCCTACTATGCCATAAATAAGAAGGCAAGTCATCGGCACCTTTGCATTTAATATAAAGGGTTTCGTGGTCAAACAAATCAATCAAAAAAAAAAAAAAAAAGAAATTTACACACACACAAGGTAGGGGGTACCATATTTAATTTCCTTATTTCCGGTTTTTTTTTCCCCGGGTGGAAGGTAGAGCTTTTGATTTATTAATGACAAGTCCCCTTTCTTTATCTTTCCCCTCATTCCAGGGAAATATCTTTTTAATTTGTTATTCTATATATTCACACCCTCATATTCACACATACATATTGACTGGAATCTGCTATAAAGTAAATAATAAATAACTATAACTTTAACTTCAAATCATCAAATTTTATTTTCCCCAACAAAAATCAACAAATATTAATTAAACCAATCATACACTTTAACATGTAGATATATGGAGGTAACATAATATTTATTATATATAACAATACCCTCAAAAAATTATATATAGCAATGATTTTGAAAAAAAAAATGTAATTTACCATAAATTAAGTAAATTTTTTTTGTTGTATAAAACTTTCAAAATCAATTTTGATAAATACCATTTAAAGTTATTATATTAATGTTACGCATTTCGTTTTTATATGTTCTAACCAAGACTAAATCCTTTAAAATAAAAGTTTCTTAACTATTTAATTCTATGTGATCGGGCATTTACAAACTCCCTCCGTTAAATAAAATTTACTTTATTGTAGAAATCTTCTTCCTTATAAAAAGAACCTTCCGTTTTTCTTTCTCCATGTGCAATATGTTGCAATTAATCTGAATGCCAAACAAAAGATATATGAACGCATATAGAGTCACAATTGATAGAATATAAGAAATGGATTATTCATTTATTCTGAGTAGTAACTTTGACAGATTTTAAACTTTGACAGATTTTATTATAAAAGGGATCAAAGTCATTTTCCAAAGGTCTAGACCATTCTCTCTCTCTCTCTCTCTCTCTCTCTCTCTCTCTCTCTCTCTCTCTCTCTCTCTCTCTCTCTCTCTACACTCGCTAGTCTTTAAATCTCCCACCGCCAGTACATAACCTTCTCTCCACTCAAAGTCTCCCTCATCTTCCACCAAGGATCTAAACCAATTAACCAAAAGTTGAAAAAGGAAAAAAGAAAGGCCTTGCAGAAAGAGGAAGAGAGATAGCAAATGGTGGGTTCCTCTTCGTTGGCTCTTCTTTTCCTCTCCTTACTCTTTTCTTCCTTTCCCTAATTGGGAAAAACTTTATGGTATTTTTTCCTTATTTATATATATTATCATCATTCTATTTTCTTTTATTTTTTATTTTATTACAGGAAGAAGAAAACCAGGTGACCCCCAGATGGGAAGGCTATGTAGACTGGAAGAACAAACCTGCACTCAAATCCCGCCATGGTGGCATGGTTGCAGCCTCCTTTGTATTGGGTCCGTACAATCTTGATCTTTCTTTTCCTTAATTTAATCAAACTTATAAAAACAGTGTACTTGGGGGATCCTAAATTTCTGATCTATTTATATATCTCCATGTTAATACAATTTTTTTTTTTTTTGTTAATGATTTATGGAAATAATTGATTAATATATATATGTACATATTTGCATGCAGTGGTGGAGATAATGGAGAACTTGGCATATCTAGCAAATGCGAGCAACTTGGTGCTATACTTGTCCGAGTATATGCACTTTTCTCCAGCAAAATCGGCAAACGAAGTCACGAATTTCATGGGAACTTCTTTTCTTCTGGCCCTTCTTGGAGGTTTCTTATCCGATGCCTTTTTCACTACTTATCACATCTACCTGATAAGTGCAGTGGTTGAGTTTCTGGTAATTAGTTGATTAATTAAATTTAAATTACAGTTTTAATTTTTATGTCAATTACTATAATATATACTCATGATCATGATCTCATGCCTTTCATCTGCCTCCTCTTTCATTCTTTCTTTCTCATAGTACTCATGCTATTCTGCTTTCCTTTCTTAATTTCTGGTCATCATGCCTATTTTGCCAGAACAAGTTCTAGATAGATGATAGGTTTTAACACTTAGAAATATATATATATATATATATATATATATATTTTTTTTTTTTTTTCTTTTTTCCCCCTTTTAGAAATGGTTTCTATTACCGAGGTTTTACTTAACTGCGTGTGTTGTGTGATTGGTGAGGAAAAAAAATAATTATTTATATACGTATATATTTACTATTATAATTTATTACTACTAATACGTTTTTCTTGATTTTTGCAAAAGAATCTTTAGAACACGTGGCTTGGAACAGGATCATGTTTTTCAGCCAAAATCACAGTCTCTGTTGTTGCATTGATCTGGGTTGGCAAGAACACATGATGAGAACGTTTAAGATAAAAATGGAAAATAATTAATTAAATATAGCAAGAATTTGACAAAAATTGTAGTTGTTCTCCTTCTTATTTTTTTTACTACTGCATTAATTATTTTTGCTCTCCTGATCTTAAATATGAAATCATGCATTTCGTCTGAGAGGAAGAATACAAAGTTAAAGACGTTACTAGGCAACCATATAACTCGTATATATCTTTAGATATTAGGTAACGGACAACTTATAAAAGCTCTATATCCAAAGCTCTGGTATCGAGACACTCTCTCTCGTGAATTTATTTCCATCTCATGAACCCTTGTTTTTTTTTTTCCTTCTTCTTTATCATCTCTAGATATACATTTTGGCTTTATATCATTTATACGTATCTGTGTGTGTATATAGGATGTTAATAGTATTTACATGTGCGTTTTTTAACTGCCTAATTTTACCAGTCTGGTTTATTTTACCGATTCGAGTTTTCAGTTTTAAGTTTTTACAGTAAAAAAAATTCTTAAAAAATGTCACATCTAACTTTTTCTGTTATAGTGAAAAATTTACATAAAATATCTCATCTCGACTCAAATTGAAAAACGAAGTGAACTAGGTCTAAATTTTGAAACAACTCGTATTACTTTAGCCTTGTTTTTTGGGCGTTTTTGGAAGTTAGTATTTTGGGCTGTATGTAACTACCGATGACAATCCAACAAAAGACAAAATTGTGTTAGATAATAACATAGATATTTGTGTCACACACAGAGATGAAAACAAAAGGTCATCAAGTAGAGGATTTAATCAGTACCAAATCATGTTACAAACATCGATATATATTGCTGTTGTTGGTCATATGGGCCCATTCACATTACTCATGCAACGTCGACAGTTGAAGAGCAGTTTTCCTCCGTGCCAGGACAAAGAGAAGCTTCGACTTATCAATTTCAGCTCGAGGGCAATAGAAATCTGCATTTGTCCTCAAAACCTTTTTCAAATCTTGTCTCATCTACTTAGCATTTGATAGGACCTCAAAATTTTCAGCCAATAGTATCCCGCCACGTTAACTGCCTTGTTTGATCCTGAACAACGCCAGGACATTATTAGCGTTTAATGCTACACATTAATTAAACGTGAATCTCACATCATATATATATATACACTACTGATCATGATGTAGCAAAATTGGTATATGTACCCGTCAATTTCAACTTGAGGGCAATAGAAATCTGTATTTGTCCTCAAACCTTTTCAAATCTTGTTTCATCTACTTAGCATTTGATAAGAACTCAAATTTTCAGCCAATAGTATTCCTCCACGTTATCCTGAACAATCTTAGGGCATCATTAGTGTTTAATATTACCTTTTTATTAAAAAGTGGGTTCCATAATATAGGTATTTCTGATTAGAGTCTACCTTTTATTATTATTATTTTTTTCTTGCATGTAGATTCATGATTCATGAACCACGTGTGTGGTTATTATTCAGATAAACCAATGATTAATAAAAAGCAAAAAAAAAAGGATAATCAAATTAGAGGCAAAACTGTGCATATTCCTCTTAGTAAGGACCAGAAACAAGCATCTCTCGAGTATAGTGACAGTTCATAGGGACAATGCGACACAACAAGTCCCAATCTGGTGCAAACTAGTCCATGAACTGAAGTGGGGTTCAACACGTGGATCTGGGACCCACCATCTCTCTCTCTCTCTCTCCTCATTCGGTACTGCCTTAACCTTATTAGCTTGAACCGTTCACCTTTGTTAATTGCCACAATCCTAAAGAATTGGCCCACAGCCCCCTTGTGGTGTTACATATGTGCAATTTTTTTCTCTCATTTTTTTTATTCGTATCACCCCAAAAGGAAGAAAACTTATGTAAACAAGTGTTGCTTTCATCCACAGCACCACAAATATGGAATGCTGACAAACTAGAATTTTTGGGCCCCATTGAGACCTTCTATAGAAATCGAGTCCCTCTCTAGAAAGCTACAGTACTTCCAAAGTAGTGCATGTTACATTGGTAATATAATAATAGCATTGGATTTGGTCCAGTTGTGACATAAAAAATATGCGATTCTACTTAAAAACATTTTTCATACCCAGTTTTTGACACGTAGCGAACCACGAATTATGATTCAAATCATGATTCGTAGTTCGCTACAGTGTTTTCTCTCATAAAAAACACACATAAACTAAGAATGATTCTGAATTTATGAACCAAACGTCTTCTGAGGGTTTGGCTTACAAGGAAAAGAGTGGGACCACCAATTTTCCAAATTCAAAAAAAAAATCTAGATATGATCTGTTCTGAGTGGTGTAATATTTTCCAAAACAATACTGCAAAAATTGACATGATAAGGTGATCACTTTTACAATCTCCTAACCAAGTTTAAGTTCAATTTTTTGAAATATTGGCAATAGGGTCTAATCATACTCACAGTGCAAGCCCGCTCATCATCTCTCAAGCCACCAATATGCAAAGGAGCCAATTTCAACGCGCCATGCGAGCAGGTTCATGGTGCCAAGGCTGCAATGCTGTTTCTAGGCCTGTATCTGGTTGCGCTTGGTGTTGGAGGCATAAAGGGGTCGCTCCCGTCGCATGGCGCCGAGCAGTTCGACGAGAGCACGCCGCAGGGACGGAAGCAGAGGTCGACCTTCTTCAACTACTTTGTGTTTTGCCTCTCGTGCGGCGCCTTGATTGCGGTGACATTAGTGGTGTGGATTGAGGACAACAAAGGGTGGGAATGGGGCTTTGGAATCTCAACTCTTAGCATCTTGTTGTCTATCCCCGTCTTCCTTGCCGGTTCCGCTCTTTACCGGAACAAAATACCTTCCGGGAGTCCACTCACAACCATTTTCAAGGTAAGGAAGAAGATTTATGCACATCACCTCTATTATAGTTTTTTCCATAAACTCACGGCTTTACTTTGCTTCTTAAGTACTCTGTTTTTCCCCTGTTTAAATCATGCTACAGAACATGGCATAGTAAAATGAACTAAATAACTGAAAGTGGATTTGAGTAACATAACCTTTTGGTTTAAATTTAATCTTTTTCTTTTTCTTTTTTTTTTTGAACTTTTGTCAGATAAAACAATATAGTAAAAAAGTTAGAACCAAAACAGTACGGGGGTTTGAACCCTTAAACAAAACAACTCATAGAATTGACCTGAAACTGTGACTTTAGCTTTTGAAAAGCATTATAAGATAGCAAATGATACATAAGATGAAAAAACAGCTTTACGACACATCATAAACCAAAATACAAGTTGATTAAAAAGGTTAGGACAAAATTTTGACATATACCTCGGAATTTTGACATGTATACATTCATGATATATGAGACTGATCATGTGTTTTGACTAAGCAGGTTTTAGTAGCTGCATTGGTGAATACTTGCATAAGAAAGAGTCCAAGCAATGCCATTGCAAGTATGGGAACCCCTTCTTCTCCCACCATAATCAGCAGGGAAGTGGAAGAGAACGCCAAGACAGAGGAGTCCACTGAAGCCCCAACAACAACAAGCCTAAAATTCCTCAACAGAGCCGCAGTGAACAATCCGGTCCACGCGGCTCTAGAGTGCAGCCTACAGCAGGTGGAAGAAGTCAAGGTTGTCTGCAGAATCTTCCCCATATTTGCCTGCACAATAATGCTCAACTGCTGCCTGGCTCAGCTCTCCACATTCTCTGTCCAACAAGCCGCAACCATGAACACCAAGCTAGGCTCCTTGAAGGTTCCTCCAGCCTCCCTCCCCGTCTTCCCCGTAGTCTTCATCATGATCCTGGCACCTCTATACGACCACTTCATCATCCCGTTCGCCAGGAGAGTGACAAAGTCCGAAATGGGAATAACCCATCTCCAACGAATTGGGGTCGGTCTAGTCCTCTCCATCATTGCAATGGCAGTAGCCGCGCTCGTCGAGGTCAAGCGGAAGCGAGTGGCTACCACCTCAGGCCTACTTGACTCCACCAGTCCATTGCCCATCACATTCTTCTGGATTGCACTTCAGTACTTGTTCCTTGGCTCAGCAGATCTCTTCACTCTGGCCGGATTGTTGGAATTCTTCTTCACTGAAGCACCAACAAGCATGAGATCTTTGGCCACATCTCTCTCGTGGGCCTCTTTGGCCATGGGATACTATCTAAGCACAGTGATTGTTTCCTTAGTAAATGATGTCACAGGAAGCTCCGAGCAAAAACAATGGCTCTCTGGAAGCAACATTAACCATTACCACCTAGAACGCTTCTACTGGCTCATGTGTGTACTCAGTGCACTGAATTTCTTGCACTACCTCTTCTGGGCTACCCGGTACAAATACAGATCAACAAAAGGAAACAACTGAAAGGGAAAAAAAAATAAAAATTTAATTAAAGAAGTTACATAGCTGGATATATGTGGCATGGTTGAATATCATGTCACATATTAAATGGGCAACTTTTTTGGGTTGTACATACATGGGAATGTGCCAAATGCTGCTTCTCAATTAATCTATCTTCCAAAATTATGGGGGTATGATTGAAGTAGTGCCTCTTGATACGGGAAGATCAAAGCAGGAAAATGGTATCTGCAGTGCCTGTTTTGTAACCAATCCCAATGTTGTGGTAGATAAATGTTATTGGTTCCTATTTTCGGGGGAACAAAAAATTATATCAATTTTCTTTGTGTCTTCTCATTTTCAATTGTAAGAGGAAAGAAAGCAAAATCAATGAGACTATTCGGACTCAACACAACAAAGCAAAGTACTGATGACCCTGTACTTGTTTCATATAAAAGAAAGCAAAGAGAAGAGCTTTCCTCAGAGTTGGCTTGCCCCTATAAGCTGTTTGTTTACACAACATAAACCAATTGACAAAAAATGAGAAAAAAATATGTAACTCAATGAACCCCTGGCAAGGTTATTAATCCAAACCTTTCCTAAAGCTATAAGTATTGATTGTGTAAATTCCTGGCTGTTTCTTGAACCGGCATTAAAAGGTTCAAAATTTGCCAATCAAATTCTCCATAGAAGTTATGATCTTTTTTCGCTGTTTTAGAAGGCGAGCAAGCAGGTTTAAGGGCTTCACCGCTTTCCCTCTCATATCGCAGAATGCACTCTATTTTCAGCCAATTATTTTAGTAAAATAGATTTTTTAGAGCCTCATCCCAACTAACGGGGATGTAGCTCAGATGGTAGAGCGCTCGCTTAGCATGCGAGAGGCACGGGGATCGATACCCCGCATCTCCACTTTCTCTTTTTCATTTTTTTTTCGAATGCTCTTTTTTCTGAAATTTGTCAATGGACTGATAATGGATTTTTTTTTTGTCCTCGTCGTTTGTTTTCTTTTTCTTCTTCTTTATTTTTTCATGGTCGTTTAGTTGTTGATAACTCGTTATTCAATAACTCGTTCTTTATTATTCATTCTCGTTTAAGCAAATTACCAAAGCATGTCTTTTTTCAGGCTGATGTCGTTCATTATTTCATAGAGTGTTGGCTTGTCGTTCCTCGACAATTTATGCAGTTCCTTAAAGTTTCTTGTTTTTTTAGGTGTGTCGTTTAGGATCTCATTGTTGTTTTTTTTTTTACATATTATTGTCAACCTTTAGAGATTAATGCCGTTTATTGCTTCGCTCACGCTTTTTAAATTGATGTCGTTTCCTGGGAATGTCGTCGTTCTCATTAGTTTTTAGGTTAATATCGTTTTAACGTCATTCCTGTAAGATATTGTCGTTTGCTAAACTTTATTACGTCTTTCATTGGATGGGGACCATGTGGGTTTTGGGTGTAGTCGTTTCTGGTTACATTCTCGATTAAGGAATACACTCTTCTTTTCTTTTCTTTCCTTTTTTTCCTTTTTTTCTTAAATGTAAAAGAGATCTACAACAATGCACTTTCAGACTTTCCAGGTTTCTCCTCAAAACTCCAAAGCTTCTGCCCTTTCTTCTCTCTCTCTTATCCTTATTAGGCGCTATTATTGGTTTTTGATTCTCACCCGTTTAGACAATGTCTCCAAAATTTTCACATCCATCTTTTGACTGTCTCATGAAATTCAAATACCTCGAGTTATAGAGTCATCGAAAATGATGGCTTCCACATTTCCCTTGCATGAAAAATAGCCACAGCCATCTGCATTGAAAGCCCATTTATTTTACCTATAGCATGTCGTGTGCTGATCTAGTTGGATTCTCTTGTATTCTAAGACAACAGAGGCTGTTCAAACACAGAAAAAAAGCAGTCCAAAACTTAAAAATTTTAATTCCTAATAACTATCTATAAGCCGAAATCTATCACATATTAAGCACAATAAATGTATATGTTAATTAATCAACATGTAGATTTGTCACTTTTTGTAGGAAAAAGTGGTACTTTGATAAGTGAATATACTCAGAGCAAGTAGTAATACATTGTTTCTGTAACCCAACTCAACAACAGCATAGCTAAACAGAAATATGACTCAAAAAACTAGAGGAAATTCAAATCATCCAATTTTACTATCACGTTGCAAAATATGCTCTACAAAACTTCCAAAGAAAATCTCAGAATTGAAAAGTTTACCAAAACCACAAACTAACTGCTATCAAACATCAAATTAATGACACGTGATGATCAATTACTCCACTTTGACCCAAACACCTTCGCTGGGAACTCCAGAGTGAACCAAAAAGAGCATGTAATATCCGGGTGGGGCCACCGCGCTGGTTGGTGGGCCATGGGCCGTGATCTTGTAGGCCACGATCGACAACCTCTCGAACCCAGCCACGTCCAGCACCAACATCCTCTGGTTCATCGCGAACGAGTGCGTCGAAAACGACGGCGTTACGAGCGCCACCGAGACTCCAGGAATAGGACGGTACATAGGCAGCACAAAAGTCACCGAGAACATCTGGCCGTACGATACTACCTGCATGTTCGTTTCAATGGTCAGGATCGATGGCCGCATGCTCGCGTACTGTGTGTCCAAGTAGTACGGCTGGTAAACCTCCAAGCTCAGCTCCGTCGGGAAAAGATCCGCTGTGAAGTTGTACTTCCTGTGTGGGTTGCTTCCGCCCACTAATATCCCCCCACTTGGCAGAAGAACAGCCGACGAATGGTACATCCTAGGGATCGCCGTCGGGTTCAGCACCGAGAATCTTCTCCCGTACCGCTTCCCGGTCCGGTAAAGAACAGGGTTGAGAACCGGATTAACGGCGTCATTCCAGCCCGCGGTTCCGTTACCCGCGCCGTTAATGATTATAACGTCGCCGGTGGGGAGGATCAGCATGTCCGGCATGACACGTGGCATCGGCATGTACTCCATCACCCATTTCGGGTCCGAATCGGTGACCTTAATTCTCCCGCAGCTCCTCGCCGCTGGCAAGAAAACCCTAGCCTTGTTGGACATGGTAAAAGCACCGGACTGTGACCCACCACAGATTATGACCTCCGCCTCCGGGATCGCCACGTCGGCGTGCAGCCTCAGAGGGAGGAGTACAGAGGAGCCGGTGCTCGGGTAGCTCCGCTTGTAACCGCCGGGGATGATCGGAAACTCTTTAACGATCCGGTTTCGGTTGTAGTCGAGGGAGATGGAGCGGTTGTTGGCGAAGATGAAGAGGTTTCCGTCGGGCAAGAGGTGCAAGAACGGGTAAAGATTGTTCTCCTCGTAAGGATCCATCGTCTCGAAGAGGAATCTGAGGTAAAACGATCTGTCGTTTTGCGGGTTCTTGGGAAAGAATTCGTAGGAGAAGGCTTGTCGTCCTCCGACGATGATGAGGCGGCCATCGGGCAAGACCTGGCTGGACGAGTACCATCTCCGATCGGCAAGACTGATGCCGGCGAACTCGGTCCAGTCGCAGGACGAAGAACCGTCGGAAACGACGACGTCGTTTTGGTATTGGATACAGAAGGGGGAGAAGGTGCGGATCTTGCGGATGCCATCGCCGTAGCCGCCGGTCTGGACTAGGGTTCCATCGGAGGCCACGGAGCCGGAGGAGCACCAGGTGTTGGTGCGGAGGGTGAGGGGGCGGAAGGTGTTGGAGATGACGTCGTAGAGAACGGAGTGGGCGGTGCAGTCGGTGACGACTTGGCGGCGGTTGTTGGTGATGCGGAGGCACTGGTTGTTGGGGAGGGTGAGGTTGGAGGGGCCCACCTCGATGCCGTCGAAGATGACGACCTTACCGTTCCTGAGGAGCTGCATGTGCATGGCCGAGACGCCGATGCTTGAGTGGAGAAGAATCCAGTTCCCGCCGTCGACATTGTTGGTGGAGGAAGACCTAATGACCCGGTTTTCTACAATGTCCGACGAGGAGGAAAGATTACAGAGAGAGAGAAGTATGGGTAGGTTGAAGAAGAAGAGGAGGAGGAAGGAGGAAGATGAGAAAGAGAGGTTCTTGGACGCCATGGATGGTGGTGGTGTTTTGCTTTCTTGGTGGTTTCTTTGGTGTTGCGATTGAGTATTGAATGGTGTTTGTGAGGTATGAGATTTGCTTCGGTATTGAATGGGTTTATATATGTGAGAACTCAAAAGAGAGTCAAAGGAGATTCTGGGAAATTAAACGCCATACCCGATCATGGGGTGTGCTTTTACGTGACATTTCACTCAGTTGCTATTTACGTCCCCGAACAATAATTTTGGTCCTTTTTAAGTAACATTTTAGAATTTGAGTTTTTTTTTTTTTAAAGAGAGAAGAAAAAATAGGACAAAATAATCACTTAATAAACAGTTTGGGCATCTAAATTTACATTAATTTATACTCTATTGTAACCTTGCTATTTAGGCAGTTGATAGTGAAGCTCGAAGGATTAAAAAAAAAAAATGAAAAAGATGTTTGAAATGCGTAATGACGTATTGCTTGCCTCTTAAAGTCTGGTATCGTTTTGGGACGGCAATTTTGCCCGCAAAACCGTTTACCCGTAGTGACCCATGATAAATGGGGCGGAAAAACCCAGATTATTCGGATTGGATTATAAACAGGTTGAAATCCTGATAACCTCATGGATTTAGAACGGGAACGGATTTAGAGATCCACGACCCTATTACCCGATCACATGCCCCGTTTATATATAGTGTGTTTTAAATTATATATTATATATAATATACATTAACAAAGATTTTCAATTAATATGTATTGCCTTAAATATATCGTTATTTTTCAAACCTTCCTTAATATATAATTATATATTGTACCTTAACAAAGATTTGTAATAATATGTATTACCCTATATATTGTTCTTTTTCAAATCTACCTTATGTAATATAACAACACTGACTTCGCAATCGAACGGATAAAAAATGGATTGTATTTAAAACTATTTAATTTGAGCTATAAATCAGTTGATTGATTTGAATCAAAATTTATGTGGAAGTGAGAATCAGATTTGAGCATAAATATTCGACTCATGATTCATTCATTAAAAAAAGAAAAAAGAAGACAAATCGTCAGAGTGATGAGTTTAACTCTTATGTTATATTTGGTAGGATAGACAGAGAAAAAAAAAAAGAATGCGAATTAAAATACTTAAGTGATGGAAGTAAAATGGTAGAAGGGAGATTTTTTTTCATGTTGTTTGATAGAAAAGAAAGAAAAGTGAAAAGAAAATAGTAAATCTAATGCATTTTATAATAATTCTCTTTTACAAATAAAAATATGATGAATGATTAAAGTTAAAATAGTTATTTTACACCTCATTAGTTTGTCAAAATTTGTCCCTCTTCTTTTCTTCCTAAAGTTAGAAGGATTAAAAATTAATAGACCCCATAGATTTTCATTTTCTTTTTCTTTTTCATTTCCTCTCTACCAAACAACTAAATATTCTATTTTCCCCTCTAAAATCTTTCCTTTAATTTCTTTCCCTCCTCTTTTTCATTCTACCAAACACACTGTTGTAAACAAAAGAAAGAGTAGAGAAAAGGTCGCAGACTTCGTTGTAAACAGAGAGTACGAGCAAAGGCCATTCTTTATTTCTTCTCTACTGAAAAGTTGAATCTTCTTTTCAAATTGAAGGAGGTCTAAGTATAAACTTGAATAGATTACTGAAATTTTTCAGTAAGTACTAAGTACAGTTTTTGTTATTTGATTGTATGCCAATGATGATTTAACTTGTTTTATGCTCATGGATGGCATTTTAAATTGTTATGCTCAGGGAATATATTTTGGTTTGAGTATGAATACAATTTTATTATGTACTCGTGAAATCACTTAAATTATAAGTATTTATTTCTAATCAGACTAATAGATACCTCGTGAATACTCCGACCCCATCGCGGGAAAATGTGCCTCCACATCCGCCAATTTATACGATAAATGGGGCGGAGACGCGTACTGATTTTTCTCACGGGGCGGGGTGGCGAGATGACTATCCCGCCTTAATTTCCATCCCTAGTATCGTTCATCTTTAAAAAAATGGTTTGATGTCGTTTTTTAGAAAGGACGTGTATTATTTTTAAAGTTTACTTCAAACCACACGTCGCTTTTATCTTACGACGACAAAAAGAAATACTATTTGTCATCCAAAGTTTAATACTCAACGCTGGGGAGCGTCTAAAATCTTGCTGTTGTTTATGAAAGACGACATGTGGGTAAACCCATTTTAGTGTCTAATGGAAACCGGCGGGAATTCCACTTTTAGTAACACACTAATTGAAACACGTGCTACGCTTGAGTATTCAGTATTTATATTTTATCATATATTTTATCATATGTTTCGTCCACCCTGTTCAAAAACTCATTCACAGTTAGTGAATAAAAAAAATTACGGCTAAAGGTAATAGGAAAATTTTATTAAAAATAAAAAGGCAATAGGTGGGGAAAAAAAGAGAGAAGAAAAATATAAAAAAGTCTAAAAATGAAAAAAGAGATAAAAAAATAATTAAAAAAATAAAGTGGAGGCCAACATGTGGCCTCCCTAAAAAGCAATTTTTTGGCTCTTTTAAGCTTGTATAAATGAATAGATTATGGTTCGTACTTCTTTCTTATGAAGTTTTACAATTTATAGGATCATCTCCCATACAAATATTAATGTCAATTTTGTTTTGATACTAAAAGTATAATATAATATGTTTTTATTTTTACTTCAATATAATGATATTTGAAATATTAAAATCTATTTTTTTATAATCATTAAACTTTAAAAGTTATAAAAATAAATTTTTAATTTTAAAATAATTTGAGAAAACAAAAGTCGTAATGATTAAATGAAAAATAACCATCTCAAATACTAAAAATTAAATGTCAAATTTTCTATTTTTGATGAGAAATTTACTATAATATATAACATTACATAAGAAAATATTTTTACACTCACATATTATATTTATAATTAACATCAATTATAACATTGTATTAAATATCTTATGGAAAAAAAAGTTGAATAGCAAGGCGTTTGTGCCTTGAAACTGGAATTTACGGCTGTGTCAAAAGCACATCCTTTTAGCTAAATATTTGGGTGTCGTTTAGTGTAAAATGTCTTGTTCCCCCTCACAATTGCTCAAATCGACCCTTATTTTACATCCATAAATATTCAAAAACAACCATGCACTTTTTTTTCTCCTCATTTTTTTTTTTTTTTTTTTTTGGTAAAAAGTAACCTTGCTT